TAGCAAGGGATTTTTGCCTCCGCACACGGCATAAAAGCCCTGCCCACCGGGCCGCCTAGCTTCAAGACTAGGGGTGCCGCAGGGGTTGAACGACGTGTCCTTCAAGCCGTTCAATATTTCGAGGGGCGAACTCCCACGATATATTCCTTCAAGCRATTTAATATCGCGAGGATATTTTAGCGACCGCTTGAGTGAGACAACATTGCTGATCGATATGGGAAGGCCGAGGACCCGCGCGGATTATATCGAATTCGACACGCGGTGCCAAGCGGATTCTTACACGGAACAGTTATGGGTCTGGCACTGAACGTGGAATCGTGATACGGTCGGCGTTGCGGAGATGCGAGGAAGGACCTCGCGCCCGAGCATACGACGCATATAGCGCCGGCTCGCTCAAGGGCCCGAGTCAAGCCTTAGGAACACGCAACTCCGTAGCAACCCACCACATCGCATCGAGAAAGTTATCGGGGGGGGCATAGGGGCTCAATATGGGTTAGACTAGGTCGACGCCCTTATTTCAAGCCTTGTCCTCTTTTTATTTTTTCATGGTTAGACGTTGTAGTCTGTGGCAGCCGTCAAAGTCAAACCCTTTGACTTCTGCCACCACAGGCACGAAACCTGTGTACCACGCACTCTGCACAGGGTGCAGAAGAGGGTGTGTGGTCTTCAACCGTGCATAGCGGTTGTCTAGCGCAGAGAGACTAACTCTTGAAGCGCTTGTCAGCCGACACTTGAGTGTCGAAAGGGACCCTAAAAATCCCTGAGGGCCTCCTGGACCTGGGTACCACATAGTACCCCATTATTGCAAACACTTGTAAGCACACGCATGACTGGCTGGTATGACAAATTCGTGCGATCGCGCGATTCTTTATACTAAATCAGCATGCGACGCCTACCTAATCTCTGTATCAAAAGGTTATGGGTCCAGTACTAAAGGGACTAGGAGTATTGTGTTTTTCTTTTGCTTTGGTGCATGCGTATGTAAATGTGGGTTACTCAAATTTTGCTTTAAGTGGTGTATCGCGTGGTGCGTGTAGAGCGTCCTAGTCGACCGACGTGAAATCGAACTTGGGACATCAGCCCCCCAGTGTCGTCGACTCGCGTACGGGTTCGATATCGGGCGTTGACCGCGCGTACCCCTATGCTACAGCGAACGAGAAACGCCCTCGGCTGGGCCACCTCTGCAATCGCATTATAAAAGCCTTCGCATGTGGTTCAGTAGCTCAGCGGGGATACGCCTACCAAAGGGATGGTGACAGCTCCCGCTGGTGGAGGTAACGGTGTCTCGCGTGGCCCTGTCCTGTCATAGGGGCGCGTGAGAGGTACGGCTGGCGCACTCGACCGGAGCGGCAAACACGCTCTTCCACGATAAATCCTGCCAAATCCTGCGTGATGCGGCCGGGAGGGTCCTCCTGCGGGACCGATGCGCTCGACACCGAGACTGGGCGCACACTTTAGCAGCCAAACTGAGGTTGGGCGCGCACTCAAGCAGCCAAACTGAGGTTGGGCGCGCACTCAGGCAGCCAAACTGAGACTGGGCGAGCACTCAATCAACCAAAATAAAACTGGGCGCGCACTCAAACAACCAAACTGAGGCTGGGCTCGCACTCAAGCAGCCAAACTGAGGCTGGGCGCGCACTCAAAACAGCCAAACTGGGGCTGGGCGCGCACTCAAACAACCAAACTGAGGCTGGCACGCACTCAAACAACCAAACTGAGGCTGGGCGCGCACTCAAACAGCCAAACTGAGGCTGGGCGCGCACTCAAGTTGCCAAAATGAGGCTGGGCGCGCACTCAATCGACTTGTTGGCTTAGAAAACATCAGAAGCGGTGTACACAGATTGAGTGCTCCATGGGCACGCAGACTTCTGCAATGTCTACAGATTGGGTGCGCAGTCGCACTSACTCAAGTTTATCAAAGCTGAGTTTACGAATGAAGTGCAAACTGCTGTACCGGCCCAAGATCATCAATGCAGTTTTCTCTGATAAGGGCACAGTGTCGCACTCAAGTCTGGGTGCGCACAGTCGCAATACATCAAAAGAGGCTTCCTCAAGTAAGRGCGCAGTGTCACACTCMAGCCTGAGTGTGCAGAGTCGCAAATCATCAAAWGCAGCTTTCTAAAATAAGGGGCGAAGTGTCACACTCAAGTCAGAATGCGCACAGTCGCAGTTACCCGGAGTGCTTAAATTCAACGTGCTCAAAAGGAAAATGACATGTTTAGCTTGAGTGCTTGCTAATATAGTAAGTCGATATGCTCAACGGACGACACGGTCAATGCTCAATCAGTGTGCCCGTTGACACATTAACCCAAAATACTCAGAGTGCCTGTTGGCATAAAAGTTCACAATGCTCCATTTGAGTGCCTGCTGGCACGATCATTTATGATACTCAATCTGAGTGCCTGCTGGCACAATAAATCAGCAATGATACTCAGTCTGAGTGCCTGCTGGCACAATAAGTCGCAATGGTACTCAATCAGAGTGTCTGCTGGCGCAAT